TCAACTTGCAACATGCAATGAAGAGTGTTACGCATTTTTTTCATAGACAGGTCTACTTGCAATCAAAGGAAATCTTTTTAGACAGGTCTAGATGAATTCAAAGAACATGTCACTAATTAATATACAAAATTGAAAAGTCAATTAAGTTCATGTTTGAAGTGAGTCTTAGCTATATGTTTCATTTCTTCTGTTACCTTTATTCATGAAAAAAATCAATATTAACGGTGACTATTTGATAAACATCTGGAAAGTGTATTTGTTTTTTTAATTGAAATCGGAAATTTTTTTCCTAAGTTCCATAATAAATAGAGGAGTTTTCACTGATTAGTATTACTTCGTTATCTCGTTACCATATAAAATAATTATGATCAATAACTGTAATGAAATTAATGATCGAGAATCATTCCACTCGTCTAAGCGAATCATTAAAATAGATTTGTTTAACTGAAAATATCATTAATAAGTATAAATAAGTTAATTTGAGATAAATATTGTGTATAAGTACAGAAAGATTACTATGCAATGAGAGATTGAGGGGTGAGGGTTCGTAAGACTAATATTGATAATGACCGTACTTGCCATACAGAAAAGATCGAAAATTCTACTTTACTATTTTGTTTTGTATCTATTCATTTGGATAATAAAATCTTTCAATCTTTCATTGCATATTAATCTTTCTTTACTTATACATGAAAATATCTTCTTGAATAATTTATTGGACTCATAGATATCCATTTAATGAAGAAGATATACTTTTTTTCTGTTTGTCTACGCGACAGAGCGGCCTATAGATAATATGAGTCAATATTAACTGTATACAATAGTATTTCTATGCTAAAAAAAAACTCACCTCATACGAACAGAATGAGAAAGTCTGAACAGCAAGCAATCCTGAGTTAGAATTGAAAAAAAGAATATACCAAGTTGATTAATAAAATAAAGAATGGAAGAAACTTGCATATTCAAGCAAAAAAATCACTTGTGTCATACTTTGAAACACAATCTTCTATACACTCTGGATGCATGCTTTGAAACTAGATATCGTCTTTCTTCAAATTTTTATCATGAGAAACCATTTGTCTCCAGATCAATAGTGTATTGATCCAAGTAGTACTATCCAAGAGATGAATATTTCTTTTTTCAATTTCAATCATTTTCATGTTAATACAATCGTGGAATCGATTAAATTTGCTTTTGTTGTCGTATAAAATATCAAAGTATTTATATTAACTTAGTTGTTTATTAAATAGAATGCAAATAGATCCAGACAACAACTGAATAGTAGATATTTATAATGATATTTTTTTGTAATTTATCGTTGTTAATTTCGAATTTACAATGTTTAATGTGACTTGATATGTAGAGTAATTTGAAAAATAAAGTTGTCACATAAATTAAGTCTAATCAACATTTCTCTTATGTTAATGATTTAGAATATATAATATAATGCTAGATAAACACTAAAGCACGTAATAATATAGATTCATCACTGGTAGAAATTGGAAATAATACTATTCTATTATTTCTTTATCCAAAATTTTCGTTTGATTAGATTAGATAATTTTTCTGTCGAATTTAAATCTAAGAATTGATTTGCCAATCAAAATTTTGCAAAATAAGTATTATACAAATGCATAAACGAACAAAACAGCATCTAAGAGACACTTTTACAAATTCTTCTTTGATATTAGTTTTTAACCAAAGACTTAGAAATTACAGGTTGAAAAACAAAGTACATTTCATAGAAAGATTTCTCTTGCATATTTTTGCGTAGGAGTTTCTTCCTATTCATATTAAATAGAAATTGCTAAAACCTAATTTGAAAGAAAACTTGTACGTAAATCGACAACTCTCTTCCACATAGTCAATGCGTTAAAATTATCCTTTAAAAATAAATAAACCAATGCAATACTATCATACAGTGTAGAAAATGTATGAGTAAGACAATCATATGGTGGTAAATTATCTATGAACAATTGTTTTGCCTGTAGAAGGGTATGGGTGTGAGTGTGGATATGGGTGTGGATACGGGTGTAGGCGTAACTAAACAGTAGATCAACACCAACACCCACACCCACACCCTAGTCCTAGTTCAAATTGAAATCTCGAGACGACCCATATAAAAAAATTTGACAAGAAACTCCATTAAATTTTTTTACATGAGAATACAAATGTTGCATCCTTGTAGACAACGTAATCGCTCAAAATGATATAATAATCTAGAACTCGCCAAACAATTTACAAATAGTTTTGAGAACGAGTTCGATCATGCTAATAGTATATAGACATCTTGTATATGGATCTCCTTGGCCCAGAGAACACTTATTCCATCGAATCTGGATCGTTCCGATTGGATCCCATTGGAATTTATGAGAATTTCGATGGAAGAACTCTTTTATTAGGCCCCTATCGAATTTCCAGAATATTTTAACAGCCGGATCCTAGCCGTTTTTCCAGTAGAATCTGGCAGCCAGATTAATCATCCTGTTTTTAGACACTTGCTTGTGACAAGACTATCTGTAGCAGCTAAACTAACACCATTTTACTAGACAATAAAATCATAGCCGAAATGTTTGAACAAAGGTGGAAATCATTCAGAAAACCTACACCAGCTCCGAGATGACGTCTGTGTTAGCTCTGGCATTAACCCTTTCGAGGCGATATCGCCCACCGGTGGGCGACGCTACAGTTTAACGAGAAACTGTATAGAAAAGCACTTTCTTTTGCTTTTTTCTTAGGCAAGAGGTTAAACACAATGTGAATTCTGCTCTACCCTGGATATGTTTTTTGATTCTTTTATTCCATAGCATGATATTTCTTATTAAAACAATCAAGATAAAACAATTAATTACAGTCAGAACAAAAGATTTTTATTTTCTTTGCTGCCACATAGCTCTTTTCTCTTGATTGTGGTCCCTTTCCTTTCTTTTCTCAAAGCAGTCTACAGTGTCTGCGAACATTGCGCGCAGATTCTTCTTTTTCTGCAAGCTTATGATCAGCTAGTTTACACTTCGAATTACTTGTTGATTGTTGCTTCATACCAAGTTTCAGCATCTCAAATGACGTACTAAGATGTAACGATCGTACAAGATTCACAAAACTGTAGCATGGTCACATGACTTGTGTCATAATTTTCCTTATAAATCAAGTAGGCGTTAATTGTTGCCGTTCCAAATATCAATTCAGATGTCATCTATTGATATCATTTCATGGATCGTCTGAGGAATGTATAGTATGCTGATAGCTAATCAGATAAATCTATACCTTGTTTTCCTTCACTGGAGAATGCTCAATGATGAAAATAAGAAGAATATGTCTTCTAATTGCACCTACAGGAAATGTAGATCATAACAGAATGAATCAAAGATGATGCTTCGAAAAGAAAACAAAAACAGATTGACATTTTATTTCTCTATATTGTTCCTAGTGCAAATACATATGAGAAAAAGAGAAAAGCAAACTTAAGTAACTATTCAGTTCTACGTGGAACAAGATCGCTGTGTAATGGTACAAACAAGAAAAAGAGAAATGAATGAGTGTATATACTGAAAAGTCCAACGAGTGCATTTATCGAGAGTGAATAGACATGAAGATGAATGTATTAAAGTTATTTTCTATGAAAACCGAATCGTCTCGAAAGGGTTAATAGCAATAATACTAATAGTGACTTAAATTAACAACGATTGCTTTTTTGTTAATTAAGATTATTTTACATATAATTTATTTATATATTTGTTTAAATTGGACAAAGGAAATAATAATTCATTTTATTTTATTCTTCTAGGAAATTAAGAAAAGTTTCTGAATATCTTCACCACATTATTACATTTATACGTACTGCATATGTTAAATATCTTTATCATTTAGTAAGTATTCAATTAGATAATAGTCGTTTTTTTTATTTTATTTTTTCTAAAAGTATGTTTCATTTTCAGAATTAGTTCTTTTTTTCATATAATTTTATTTAATACACTTATTCATTTTATATTTTAGTACTCTCATTTTGATCTTTTTATTATTATTTTCCTATGTAATTTTATGTGATTTTTTTCCACTCTATGATCTTCCAATGAATTTTATGTATACCATCTGGTAATTTAGCAAAAAAAGATTGTTGCGATGACAAAGATGGTAATCTATCCGTTACAAGTTACACATCGACTATAACTTTCTATAATGTTAGTAAATCAGTTGCATATGGACTACAATCGCATAAAAATCCGTCTTCTACTGAAATTATACTTGTCATATAGGTTATTACATTAATTTGTGAAGAACTTCGACACGTAATTTGTTTGAATATATTTGTAATCTATTATCTTATGGTTTCTATTTACTGTATTCACATTCTTTAGTTATTTGTAATACGAGCACTATCAGCACGAAACGCTGTTGCAATTTATTTTAAATCATATTGGAATAAATTAGATGTTGTGGCTATAATTCTATTTTCTCGTGGGTATTGTACTTCGATATACTTCAATATCAGAATGCTTTTGTGCAACATGGATTGTTTTATCATTTGATTTATCTATTTGGTTTATATGTACATTGGATATGTTTACTACTGTAAAACTACATGGGCCTAAACTTGTTATAATTGATGAAATGGTAAGTAATCTTCTTGATTTTGTGAGACACTAGTTAGACATTAGCACAATTCCTTAATAGTTACTTTTCAAAGATTAATCATAGATTGTAACATGCTTTAATCAGATATTGTGATAAGTTGCCTATCAACAACAGCTATTTACAATATACCAACTATTTTGTTATCGTATTTCTAGAGAATTTAGTAGAAGAAAGATGAAGAAATTCCTTCTCAGATAGTCAGAATAAATCAATCTCCCTTTCGCGTTGACAACAATAGTAGCTCTATCATGTTTCACATTTTATTCTCACGGAGATTTTATCAATAGTATTAGTTTGTTTTCTATTAAATGTTGTTTTCTTATATATTGTTTTTTTGTTAGGTACATTATTTGAAATTTTTCATATTAATGTCTTTCGTATTTCTACTGGCGTTTGGTGTATCATTTTATAGTTTAGTATTTGGTGTTCAAGAATTTACTTGGCATTTATCACGTAAAATTATAAATCGTGCTTATTGACATATATTTGGTGAAATAGAAGCTTTAGAAACATTCGAAGGTATGAAAATACAAAGAAGAAAAGAATAAAGAATTTCTAATTAAATAATAAAATGTTTGTCTTTATACAGAAAATTTTAAAGCAAATGGTTATACAGCGTTTATCTTATTGCTTGGTTATATGACTATTGTTAGTATACTCTTAGTCAACCCTAGAGAAAGTACTGAGTTCAGGGTACCCATGTACTGAGAAAGCCTCAGCAGGGTACCCGATATGGGTACTTCGAAAACTTTCAGTAATTATACTGACGTAGGTACTGTATTGAGTACCCATTGCAGTATGTTTACTGAACAAGTACTTGCATGAGTACCCGCACCTGTAATTTTACTAGGAAAAGCTCTACAGGGTACCCTAGATTTGTTGCGTTCTGTGCAGCAACTGTTCATTCACCGCTTTCTTTTGCATATACGACTTCATATAGGCAACTCGAGGAAGCATAAGAAAAAAATATTTTTTCATAATAATTTTTTCTAGATTATTTTTCTTGACTATTTACTAGTCGAGGACATGTTGATCTCAATCGTAGATTGAGGGAGGACTACCTTGAAGTGGTCTGATGGAGATTCGACCAATTCGCGTCCGGTCAGATCTCGAAATTTGACCTGCTTGACATTTCAGAATTGGAAAAATAAAATGAAATAAAATCGAAAAAATATCATAAATTGCTTTGAGAAAAACAAAAATGAAAAAAAACCAGAGGTTAGTTTCGATCATCAACATACTGCAAGTTTGGCAAGAGGGTACCCAAAATTACTGAATAATAGTACCCGGTTGGGTACTTGATCAGTACCTTCAAGTACCCATTTACTGGATGCTTTTCAGCAGGGTACTTGGTCGAGTACCTTATACGTACCTAAAAGTACTTTAAGGTACTTCAGTACCCGAAAGTTCCTGTGACATACTAGTAGCAGGGTACTTTTTCGGGTATCCTTAGCTCAGTACATTCACTAGGGAATCTACTTATTGCTACGTTCAGGTAGTATTTATAATATCTACTTTAAATCGTTATGGAAAAAAAAGGACTATAGATAGTTAATATGTATCGAAACCATTTTTTTGCATCTAACTAAAGCCTTGTTTTGTTTTAATTTAGTAATACTTTCGATCGTCTTCAAAGCAATGCAGATCGTATTTGGAAATTTCAACGATATTCATTAGTGTGTGAATATTTATCACGTCCATCGTTTCCACCACCTTTCATTTTTTTGTCTCATTGTGTACGATTAACTTTGTATACATTAGCTAAATGTTGTAAGTCAGAATTCATCCAAAAAATAAACATCGACAACATGTGAATTAAACAAAATATAGTAAAACATATTTTTTTTATTTTATTTTATTCATCTAATTAAAATAGTTGATTTTTTTTATTAGAACTGTCACTCGATGACAAAAGTATAACAAAAATTGAAACAACTGAAGATGCATATGGTGATGAAGTTTATTATAATTATTTAAAGCAGGAAAGAAAACTACTTGATGAACCTGATCTAGATGAAGAACGAGTGTAAATAGTAAGCTTAAATAAAATAAACACTAGATCGAGATCTTTCATAGAACGCCCTTGGAAAATATCAGATTAACTTCTTATCAACTATTTTTCTGCGATATGAACCACTTAAATCTAAATGGCGGTTGGAATAGTTAGTGAAATATCCTATCAAATGTATTGTATACTGGAATCTTATAAATAGAATTATTAGAGGAAGAGTAATGAAAAATCATACACAACATTTTCAGGTCTCCGAAGACTCTATGAAGATTAATGCTAAAGAATATCATCTTTAAAAGAAGAAAGTCTCTAAGCAAACGAGATATTGTTCCACTTCCCCCCACTCTCTCTTAAAAAGTGATAAGCATTACAAAACCAGCACAATGCGTTGTTTTGTTGTAGATAATCAATCTCGATTTGTGATGTTTTTGTAAATTTTTAAGAGGAAGTTCTAGAAGATGCGATAACCTTTCTTTTTATTCAAAGCTTTATGCTTTTCAATATAATAGTCTTCTAAGACATGAAAATTACCGTGTTTAGTTTCTCGAAAATCTTCCGTCTGTAGTCGATCTATGAAAATTTGGTATAGAACGATTTATAAAGAAAGAGTTTCATTAGTTATTCCTCTCGCTAATTATATCCAAGTTAAATGCTTTATATCAAAAGGTAAAAACATAAAACAATATGTTGTTCGTGTATTTTTTTTTTCAATTTTTGCGTATTTTTAGTCAATCATTACAGGAAAATATCTTAAATAGAATACGGAGACTTGAAAACCATATGCGACTAATTAGTAGTCAAGTGATAATGAATTTGCTATAGTTGAATTTCTTTTTGCACTTATTTCATATAAAAAATTTTCATTTAGCAAGCTATTATGTGCGATTATCTTGAACACTTGATAGATGATTCAAAAACTAACAATGGTAAACGTATCAAACTGTCTGAACGACATCGTTTAGATCCTGAATGATCATTTATGCTTATCATTATATAATTATTCTTTTACTAATAATTTCTTTTTATAAAAAAAAAACATTAAAATAGTTGGCGAAATGAATCAAAATATTAATAAATCACGACAAACGTATCAACGAGAATCATTGTTTGATGATGATCGTATTCATTAAAATCCTAATTATTGAGAAACAACAATGATGAAAGGTTAATTTTTTCTTTATCTCAGTAACACTTCTAAATGCTATAAATACCTGTATGACTACAGCATATTTTAACTCTAGTCCATATAATCAAAGTTTTAGATTATTGAATGTGATTTACAGTCTTATTAAAGAGTAATTACTACTTGAGGAATCTTTCTTAAAGAATGTCGAAGTAGCAATCGCAGTTTTTTAGTGTCCTTCTTTCTTGTTCAGATCTGCTTAGCTTCATCAAACGCAATGAGGGTGTGGGTGTGGGTGGGTGTAGAAGTGTGTTTCTAATTATACCCACACCCACACCCACACTTCATATTCATAAAGACAAGGCAAGAGAGAACCTTTTTTAAGTACCACTATTGACTTCAACAAAAAAAAATTTTACTTTTTCACCGATAGGAAAAAAACAATATATAGGGTGATGCAAAAGCTACTTTACCGAAAAAGAATTGAATAGCTCCATTACGGCTCTAGCAAACGAGCTGATTTTTTTACCAATGAGAGACGCATATTCAAACTTTATATCCAAAAAGACATGCCTAGAGAGACCCATTGTTACGTATGTTGGTTTTTTTCCTATCTGTGAAAAAGTAAAAATGGTTTTTTTTGTTGAAGTCAATAGTGGTACTTAAAAAAGGTTCTCTCTTGTCTTGTCTGTATGAATATGAAGTGTGAACATACCTTTACTAGCGATAAAAAAATCAGCTCGTTTGCTCGAACCATAATGGAGATATTCAATTTTTTTTCTTTCGGTTCCGTTACTTATGGGCCATCCTGTATATATATATATACATATATATTCATGGAAGTTACCGTTTTTAATTAAATAAAAACACTAAGAAAGGCCCTTCAATTCTATCCAAAGCACTTCACATTCACATCCTTTGAATATAGAGAAGCCATTTGATTTGGGGTCGTCTATCATATCGATAAGAATTAAGATAATAATTGTTTGAAATAAAACGGACAAATTATGATGAAAACTGCATCAATTTTTTGTTATTGATAATGGAATTTCAAAAAATTTCTTTTTCGGTTCAGTGCGAATTTTTGAAAACTGAACCGTGTCCAACTCTGATTAGTAAGACGAATAACTTTTTTTCTTTGACATTAACAGTCCTTATCAAAGTCTTTGTTCCGTGTTTGACAACGCTAGCTGATCTTATGGCCCTGTTTCAATCACGTAATACATATATATATAATAGTATTCTAAAAGACAACTGGATCATGGTTTTTGTTTTCTATATATCCAAAACGAAAACAGATGCACTTTCACAAAATCATTTCTCTGTCTAGCTGCAGAAGAATTATCATCAAAAAACAAACTAATGTCAATAATCGTACCATATCACATAAAAATACTAGAAAACAATTTGTTACTATTGTAATTATTTAAAAAATATTTTCTTCTAAACAAAGCTCATTGAAGGAATGAATTTAACTTTTGATAGAATCAGATTACCGACAGAAATGATTATCAAAATATACAATATATATTTTTTATGCTACAGTAGATATTGAATTATTTCAATTTATTAAAAATTAACAAATATAAAAATATGCAATGACAACATCAAAAATAAAAATGACGTTTTAGAATAACAAATCATCCAATATTAGATTAGAAAAAAAAGCTGCTTTTTTTTAAATTTATTACTTTTCAAATAATTGAAAATTGCGTACGTCTTAAATTATAATAACGGGTGCGGCAGAATAAATGGTCCCTTCAGTATTTTATCTCTAACTCTATTTTTCTTTCATCCAAAAGACATGATTTTATCATAGAAAGATGCATCGTGAAATTCTCTACAAAGTGGCCTATTTTATCTTGGTTAAATACCGTTCGCCGTACTTTAAATTGAAATGGTTTCACTTGGAAAAATGATGAGTACTTTCCAAAAATAGTTATTTTATAGTTTTTCCTAATATCGCTCTATTTGCCATTTCTTAGTAACTTTCGTTTATAGTTTGTTTTAGTTGAGAAGCAATCTGGGTTTACCGATACTCCAGCGATGCCTAGGCTTTCCTACTTGAGTTGAATCGGTAGTTATCGAAATTAAAATGTTATTTTAACAAAAGTCACTAAGATATGGCAAATAAAGCGATATTAGGAAAAACTATAAAATAACTATTTTTGGAAAGTACTCATCATTTTTCCAAGTGAAACCATTTCGATTTAAAGTACGACGAACGGTATTTAAACAAGATAAAATAGGTCACTTTGTAGAGAATTTCACGGTGCATGTTTCTATGATAAAATCATGTCTTTTGGATGAAAGAAAAAAAGAGTTAGAGATAAAATACTGAGGTGGCCATTTATTCTGCCGCACCCGTTATTATGTTTTGGTTCAATTTGTTCAGTTACATATTGATCAATCGATGAACAATTTTTAATTTTCACAACAAAAGATGGACATCAATTTATTTTTCACAATTTTTTTCCAAAGAAATTTGAGATGTGTTCAATAAAATATCCATTTGATGACTCTATATTATATTCGAAACTTGTTCGTTGATTTTCTCTATTAAATGACAAATGTGATTTCAATCGATCTAAGCGAACTTTTTCACAAATACAATTCAAATCATCAAAAAAAAGCTTCGTCTACTTCTTGACGTTTTTGTCACATAATCTTTAGAATTTAAACAAAAATCACTCAACGAAAAAATCAATGATTTATCAACTGAAT